ACTCACAATGGTTTGGAGAGTGGTTTTCAAATTATATCTCATAAAACCTTAGGAACTAATGTACTTTTCCGGCAAAAATTACATTTTTGTCAGCTTAGGAATATAACACCTATTAGATATCTAAAATAAACTTCAATCCCCTTAAAATTTTCATTCAGTACAAATTTTAGTGGTAATGAGCTCCTGAGTTTATGACCCCACTGTGTAACACAGCACTTAATTTTATTTATCCTACCACTTCTTTTATTTACCACATTATCTTTTTAATTGTTGACTCAATTTGTCCATTTGTAATAGCTGTAAAAGATCAGATCAACGGAGATCTATGAGCTAATCATTCAATTGCATAGCAGAGTTTGGAGAATAGGTTTTCTTCCTCTAATGGGACAAATTCTTGAGGGATTATAGATCATCTAGCAAAACATTATCAGCAAATACTAGCATCTGGGCACCTCACCTTCTATAAGGGCTCCCTTTAACTTCAACTCCATTATCTATTGCCTTTGTTTGACATTAATGATCAAAACATTGCCAAACGAGGTTATTTCTGTTACAGCTTTTAAGTAATCTTGTATATGCCTGATATATGCAGGGGAGATATTTCAGAGAAGCCATTAAGGTCACAGGTTCACAGTGACCTCAGAGGCCAGCCTGACCAACTTCCATATTTTACAAATAAGGAAAGTGAGGCCTTGGTAGGTTAAGTGACTTGAGCTGGATGTTTTGCTTTACTGAATCAACTGCTTTTTTATAGAAAACAAACAAGCACATCAAGATCTTGGATTCTTTACATTCCTCAGTCGAGTGTGTGATAATAAAAATATAGTCCTCTGTGAAATATCACTTACAAAAACCAGTCTGTTCCCTTATGAATAACTTCATTTAGGAGAGCCTCAATGCACATATGAGTACAAGAGTCTCTTACAAATTACGTCAAAGTGGAAATATGACTCGGTAGTTATGGGTATTCTTTTGGTTACCTTTCTTGGTTCAAGAAGGTCTCAGTTTTTTTCCCCACACCTTTGGTATCTTTCCCTTCTTCAAATACCACAAGCAGCAATTCCTCTGCTACGCACATTTGGTCTACTGTTCTTCAGTGACATTTCCATTGCATGTCTAGGACTGTTAACTCATGTTAAGAGTCCAAATGTGGCAGTTCCATATGGTGAAAAGACTATAAAATTTTTGCAAATCTTTTCCTAAGGTAATTTGTTTTCCAACTCAGAGTTTAACCTTTCTTTACATCTTTACATGGGGATGACTGCTTATCCGGGTCATTTATTAAGGATTCTACAAACTTGTTTTTTTTTTCCTTCCACTGTTTCTCCCTGTTTTATGAAGCACAAATACTCTTGAATCCTCCTCTGTTCTTCTCCACAAGAGAACTAGTTTATACACTAAACTGTTTGCCTTGGCAGTCAAATATTTCTATTTGGTAAGAAGGTCAAGTATTTGTTGACAAAGGTGGTTTTTACGTTCTTTGGACCTCATATTTAAGGCAGTTTCATTTTCTAATTTGCACCTTCAATAATTTGTTTAAATAGGTCAGGCTGAAGTTGTTTTAACTGGATTCCAAATTTTTCCCCATTCTTATTCTTTCTGCTAACTTCACACTAATTTTGATCTTTTCTCTAACTAGTCAGTAAAGAAAGGTGATTCAGGCAGATACAACTTTTGCATTAGCAAAAAGGAATTTTTTGTCAAAATACAACCAATTTCATTTTTTTATTATTTGGTGTTTATCATATTTTTTTCCTTTTTAAAAAAAATCTTTAGCTTTTCTGTGAAGTCTTATTGGGCTTGTGTCCAATTTGCTTGTAGATGTTTTCTCATCATTGTCTTCTTCTGAGTTTGTCTTGAGCTTCCTTGTCACCAACACCAAGTAGCTTTTTATTGGCAGGTTCCTTTTTTATTTTTTGTTTGCTCATTTTCCCAGCCTATTTCTTGACTTTGAACTTTATGTTAAGGTTGGGCTAACGTGGGGCTGGGGGAAAAGAGAAATTGGAGAGAAGAGGAGTGTATTGTCCTCAGCTTCAGACTTTTTCACACTACTATTTTCACAGTCAGTTCTGGAGCAGGGGTGGGGGGATGGATCTGTAAGTTTTTGGTGCTTCTAAGGTGGTGTGATCTAAGGAGAAGTGCGTTCACTGCTCTCCTGGTCTGCATTCTGGTACTTACCAGGAAGTCTCCTGCTCCCTTTCAACCACAAGTGCTCTCTCTGCCCTCAAACTGCAATCCAGAATTGGGTAAAGGTGATGACAAGTACTACAGTCTTGTACTCAGTGCCCACATACGGGTCCCCTATAATCTATTTCTGATCAGTTGTCCAAACTCTTTACTGTCTCTGGAGATGGAGAACTCCCACAACTGTTGCTGCTGCGACCTCTGAGTCCCACACCTGGAGTTGCTGCCACATGTGCTCTGGGCTAGCCCGTATCCCAGTTTCACAGATCTCTTCTTCCAACCTCCTGAGTTGTTTTGGGCTGGAAAAGTGTCTTATCTGACCTTTTGTTGGCTGTACCGCTCCAGAATTTGACTTGCTATTTTAAAGTTGTCTGGAGAGGAATGCTGAAAGTTCAGCTTGAATGCTCCTTCTACTCAGACATCTTGGCTCCACCTCTATCTGGTGTTTACCATATTCAGGATTTAGAAGCCTTCTGAATTCATGATATATATTACTGAATCATGAGGCTTCTATGCAATTTACAAGTCTTTGGCTCTCTTATTTCTAACATATTTTTCTCTATTCACGCAAGCCCACTTTTGCATTGAAAACACTAAGTACAAAACCATGTTTATTTAATTTGGAATATCTCATCCAACTATCCAAAGAATTTCTCTCTTCAGCTTCTGCAATATATGTTGGCACATTTCCTTTAATTATTTTGATGGTGGTTTTCCTGTAAATATTTTTCATGAGTATTGCTAAATGAGATAACTAAAAGTCCCATGAAATGTCTCCTATTGCCTTTCAATGTCAGCTGAAACCACTACACCAAACCTTTATTTCCTTCTCAAAGAGACTTGTGATCCTTTTGTTTTCTGCTTTTGTTTATACAGAGACTGTCAAGAACAAACCAATTCAGTTCCTCCACTAAGTCCTACTTCTAAGTCAGTGAACAAGGTTCTCACACATTTAGAGTACTACTACCAGTACTAATACCTAACATTTCTATAGCACCCACTGCGTGTCAGGCACTGTTCTAAGTGCTTTACAATTATTATCTAATTTTATCCTCACAACAACCTTGGGAGATGGGTGCTATTATCATCTTCATTTTACAGTTGAGGAAACTGTGACTTGCCCAGGGTCACATAATAGGAAGTGTCTAAGGCTAGATTTAAACCCAAGTCTTCCTAACTCCCAGTGCTCTAGTTAATGTTTACAGACAGCCTAAAAACTGTATGGTTTTTGGAAACCTCTTTATTACAATTCTGTCATCTGAGTTCTAGAAACAAAGAGGGTGGCCCAGGACAGACTACTATTTTGTATTTCTTTTCTTCATGGGTTGCCAATGCCAAAGAATTCATCATCAAGTAGCCAAGCTACTGGTGACTAGCCTCTGGCCAGTTCCACCTCTACCCTAGCTGCCTGGCCCCCTGGGGAAAATCTTCATCCTGAGGCTGATTCAGTAATTTCTGTGTCTTTGATTGAACCTCCATGTCATGAGAAGGCTCAGCCATGCTACGTTCAACTCCCTTTCTCAGGCTCAGTCTCAAGTTCACTCCACGCCACCTCCTCACTGATTACCTGCATCAAGAAGGCACTCTCCTGAAATCGAGAGGATGCCCATCAAATGGGGAATGGCTGAACAAGCTGTGGTATTATATGAATGTAATGGAATATTATGGTGCTATAAGAAATGATGAGCAAGCAGACTTCAGAAAAACCTGGAAAGACTTGCATAAACTGACACTGAGTGAAGTGAGCAAAACCAGGAAAACATTGTACACAGTAACAATAACATTGTGCAATTACCAACTCTGATAGACTTAGCTCTTCTCAGCAATGCAAGGATCTAAGACAACTCCAAAAGACTCATGATGGGAAATGCTATCCACATTCAGAGAAAGAACTATGGAGTGTGAATGCAGATTGAAGCATACTATTTTTCCCTTTTTTGTTGTTTTTTTTCCTTTCTCTTGGTTTTTCCTGTTGGTTCTAATTCTTCTTTGCAACATGATTAATGTGTAAATATGTTTTAATATGATTGTACATGTATGGCCTGTATCAGATTGCACTCCGTCTTGGGGAGGGGCAGGGGTAGAAAATTTAAAATTCAAAATCTTATAAAAGTGAATGTTGAAAACTAAAAACAAATATTTTAAAAAAAATAGAAGGTGCTCTCTTTCCTCCTGACCCCCAGCTAGTCATCAGAAATTCTAGACTTTTAAGCATGATAGAATATATTAGAACTTGCACTCCAACACGCATAGTATTTGAGAAACCTTAGTCATTTACCTCCACAAATAATTATAAGGGATTTCAACAGCTATCTAGGTCCAACTTATATACAAAAGAAATTTCCATTATAACATGCCCAACAATTAGATATATCTAGTTTTTGACCTGCCTCCAAATGATAAATAAATACTAGGTAATATAATGAAGAGTTCATTGCTCCTACAAAATTAGGAACTGCAAGGCTAAAATCTAAAGTACCTTATTCTTGATTGGTTCTAATTCTTTACTGCCAAGATAACCAATTCAAAACTCATGACTCGTTCTGGTAGAGATAAAGAGATATTTTTTCTTTTAAAAATAAATAAATTATGGTTACTTAAACTCACAATAATCATATAGCTGGATAATCAAATTAATTTTCAGAGAAGAGCCAATGAATTAAATTTACATAATGATCCTAACTTTACTATAAAAACGTATAGACTCTGGAAGTCCTCATAAAGGGATTCAGCATATTATGGTGGAAATTTTGTAAAATATAAGCTACAAAGTGGAACAAACCTATTGAAACTTTAAAAATATGACAGCCTCATACCTGTATTTCATTTATTTTGTATGGTGTTAGGCTAGTATTTTCAGGAAGAGATTCTAAAATGGTGTCTTCTGACTCTTCCGTTTCTGAGCATGATGGGGTCTCCACAGTTACTTTCACAGGAAAATCCATTTGCTTAAAGAAAATCATAGGAAACTATAAGCAAGGTTAAAATGATCAAACATTAAAGCATATTTCAAAACATTTCCAAACTCTAAGTAAAATTTCCTTATCTGACATCTTCATTATGTAACACTTGACTGCATATGTATTTGGGTAACATAACAAGTAGATGAATGTGCAAGTACTTTTCTTCCATTTCATCTTAGTCATACAAGATATAATTATTAATAACCAAGCCAAATGTAATGATTGTAGCATAATATACTTTTTCCTGCTGGTTATACTATGATTAAATAATTTCGACATCCTGAATCATACTTTTATTTTAACTTCACATAAGTAGTAGAAGTTGTGTTTAGGATCACAGATTAAGAGCTGAAAGGGGCTTCAGGGATGATCTAATATAAATCTCATCACTGGAGAAATCTAATACCCTGAGTTTAAGCGAACTGGCCAAGGAATATTCTGGGTTTTATTCAGGAGAAAGCCTGTAAAAAGACAGTTAATTTAAGGTGCAAAGCAGGGAGTAGGAGTTAGAAATTACTATTTAGATGGAGTATGAATGCAACAGAGTTCTTTTTCCCTTTTCTGCTTAACAACATATGTATGGTCTCTTAAGCCAAACATCTGCAATATTGACCTAGGAATTTTTAAAGATACACAGTGTAGATGACAAAAATAATTCACTGGGAGGTTAAGTCTTCTAAGGGACAACCAACTTGCACTCAAAAATTAGGACAGAAATTTCCTCTCAATCCCCAAAACTGAAATATGATAAATATTTTAGCATATTACCTGAACTGGCCAAGGTAAATCTCGAGTTTTAATCAGTGGAAATCCCCTAAAGAGACAATTAATTTAGGTCACATTTTAAGGTAAAAATGTTGGGGTTTAAAATAACATACAAAAGCACGTTAAACTGACATCTCTGGAGAAGTATCTATTTTATATAATTTAATTTTCCAGATAAATGAATCTTAACCCTTAAGGTGCCAAAAAAAAAATTTGAAAGCTCTAGGTATTTTTAAGTTTAACATTTCATACATCTTTCTCTTTTGTGAAAGAATACAGTGAACACAATTAACATTTTCTTGGCTACCATTATAAACATCAAGATACGGCCTACATTAAATGGCCCCAAGCTACAATTTTTAAAGTTTCCCTTTTTATTTTCTTTTCTTTTAAAAAAATCCCCAAAGCTTCACACGTCAAAACTTTAAAGCTGGAAAAGCCCAGAGAGATCACTTAGTTCAGGAGTTTTAAATCTGGGGTGCATAAATTTGTCTTTTAGAATATTTTAATAACTATTTCAATATAATTCATCTCCTTCATAATCCAAAATATTTTATTTTGTGCATTAAAAAACATTGTGAGAAGGGATCCACAAGTTTCACCAGACTGCCAAAAGGGTCCATGTACACAAAACAGATTAAGAATCCCTGTTCTAGTCCAACTCTGACTATGTAAATGAAGAAAGTGAGGCCTAGAGGAGATGGTGCCCCAAGGACACACAACCAAATTTTTTTGTTTCTTCACTGTCAGCTGTCATTTTATATTACTATCAGTACAACCACCCATAATGCCACAATTATACTGTTTGTATCTGTTCCCAATTAATTTATTGCTTCTCTTAGAACTATATGTAAAATAAGAGTTCATACCCTGACAGAAAGCATGACAAGTTCTCATTAAGTCAAGTGAATATGCTCTAATGCACTGATATTGTTAAAGCATTTTTATTTTTCATAATTTATAACAAAATACATTTGCTACAGGCAAAATATATTTAGACATATACTAAAATGTATGTACCTCAAAATATTTTCATTATGAGTAGCCAAAAAAAATCTATATATAGTGTCACTGAAATCTATTAGAATGTAAGCTCTTTGAGGAAAAAAGACTATTTGTTTTTTGTCTCTTTATCCCCACTGCTTCAAAAATTTTCGTGCTATTATCTTTTTTTCTTATGAAACAAAAACAATTAACTTTACCTGAAGATCAAAATTATCCCACTGAGCCTTTTTAAAAATAACTCAGGGGCAGCCAGGTGACGTAGTGGATAGAGCACTGGCCCTGGAGTCAGGAGGACCTGAGTTCAAATGTGACCTCAGACCAAACACTTAACGCTTACTAGCTGTGTGGCCCTGGGCAAGTCACTTAACCCCAACTGCCTTTAAAAAATAAATAAATAAATAAATAATGATAACTTTTACAAACTGATCCTTTTTTCAGAATTGAAATCTGATGATTTAATTTTCCCCTCTATGGCAAACCCCCCCACCCAGTTTTAGAATAAAAATTATTAAGTAAGAATAGCAATGTATTGGGGTTCAAAAGATATACAATCTGATAAGCTGCCTGGCTCATATTTCATATGATCAATATTTTTCTTATATTATAAAGACAGAAGCTAAAAATACTCTACCTGCTCCTGTTGGCACGTTCCGCAGTACGCCAGGGCAGGAAGCCATATGTACCAGGTGGTAACGACTCTGGAGTATAAGAATCTTTACTACATAACAGTTTTCTTCCTGTACCTAGAGGTTTCACTGTTGTTACTCCTGAATGGTTTGAAGAGGCATTAAAAGAAGGAATTAAAAGCAATACGAAACATATATGTATATATGATTAGATTAGCATATGTATGTATATACACCCTGGGGTAAAAGAAAAATACGCATGTAGCATTTAAGCTAATGCAATACAGAATAAGTCCATTTACTTTAATGTCCTTTTATAAAGAACAATCATTTCATTTTTATATTATTGCTGTACTGTGCCAAGTATACTTTTAGTATGATGTTTTAAGTCACATACAATATGCTGAGAAGGTGAGCAACTCATGGACTGGCTTGAAAAGACTGAGTCCATTAGCCCAAGTGTGGAAGACATATGCCACTAGTCTTTACAAAATATTGTCACAGGAGAAGTTATGAGGTTACTTCAGTGTTTTTCTATTTAGCCCTTGCATGGCCATATTAAAACTTCTCCTTTGAAGAGGAGAATATAGGAAAGGTGGGCAATAGGCTATAAGCATATACGTTGCCATGTATATTTCCTATCAGGACTGGTCACAGAATTATCTCAGTGTGGTGGAAGCTATCACATGGGACTGGCTATGGCAAAATGGTGCTACCACTACGGGCTGGTGGAAATGTACCACTGCACTGTTGACTTCCACCTGCTCCATTCTGTGAATCTTTCACTTATTAACCTCTAGCCTTAACGTCATCTTATAATCTAAACCTGAGCAGGATAGTACATGATACTTAAGCATGTGTTAGAAAATAATACAAAAAAAAGTTAAATATCTATCATGGAATGTAAAGAATGATGCCACCAATTTATTGGCTAGGAATTAATTTCTGGCACATTTTTCTACCAAATTCATCAGCATCAGACAGCCACACTAACATCTTTGGCACTCCTATACTTGAGGGAAATGGGAAAACAAGTATACACTTTTTCTTGAACAGGTTGCACTTTGCAGCTACAGTATCATACTATTCTGAGACCACTCTCTCCCCCTAACATTATCACAGGGAGTTGTTGGCATGAAACTTAGGAATCTGTTCCCTACTTTCATTGAACAGACTGACACTGAACTGCCTATTAAAACAATCTCTCAATAATGCAAACTTACTTTCATATGGAAGACAAAATACAAACGTAAAAAATAACAGCAAAAAATAGGTGAAAGAAAATATTTTTGAGATTATAAGAAGCCAATAGTTCATTCTTAAAATGTCCAAGTAATTTATGCATTTACTGCCTCTCAGAACATCAATTTATTATTATGCATAATTAACTTATATCATTGCATTAATATAACATCATTATATAATTATCTTAATTATCAAGGCAGGGTTATGATTTATGAATAATTAGAAAGGACAGCAAGCAAAAGATAAGCTGAAGTTTACATTCAAAAATTAAATTTCCTGCCTTGCAACATTAAGAACACCTTAGTTAAATTTTCATATAATTGTAAGAATTTATTAGCCAAGTTCAATTCTCCCACTATTCCAAACGGCATATGTAAAATCAGTACATAGGATATAAGATGTCCTAATCCCTACAAGTCAGTAATATGCAAATCTTTATAAGACTATTATTCTGTCATGCCCATGGAATGAATTTACACCTCACAAATTACATTAAAATTTAGTTTACCTTGTGCTATTCAACTTAAATTTTTTTCTTTCTTAATACAAGTCTAAATGTAATACTGAATTTTGTCTTTAAAGCATATACTAAATACTATTAACACAATTAATCTCCTATGCTCTCTGAAACGAAATCAGACACTGACTTGAAGTGCTTACCTTTGTGCCTCCAAATTACTGAAGCAAACAAAAAAGCCCAAGAAACAAAATTACTTTTTCAGTAGTTCAGTAAAACTTGCAAACGTGTCACGTTTTCACTTTGCTTCTTAAGGTAATAAAGGAAAACTGACATTACAGAAAGTGTATCTTTTAACATACTAACCACTTTTCCATTATTTGATGTGATCCAAATACTTAAAAACAAAATTGGTAGGCAAATCATAGTCCATCTTTTTCCATTTAGCAATCAACATTCTTAAAAACTACTGTTGCACGTATCTTCCAATAAAAGAACCAGTGTGAAGTCAAGGATGTATAACATTTAAAGGATGATATAAGGATATTTATATTAATAAAAGGATAAGGGCTACACTTACCCAGTTTCTCACTGGTATAGGGCTCACAGTGAGAAACTTTCTCTACCACTGTTATGTTGGTCCCAGTTATTTGACTTGCTTGGACTTAGAGAGTCAGTATGTGTCAAAAAGTAAGACTTTAACTCTCTTCTTCTGACTCTAAGGTCAGCTCTCTACTATGCACAATTAAAGAGCTTAAAAAAAAAATTCAATGTCCTCACTGAACATGTTCTTCTTATTCTCATACACCATTAAGGGTGGGGCTGGAAAAGAATCTACCCTTGGTTTCCACATCAAATCCTTATAGGATTGCTATGATAGCTCTCTTTGAAAGGCAAAGTGGTACATAATGGCTGTTTGGCCCTAAGCAAGTTACTTAATTTGTCAGGACCCAAGGTAACTTTCTAAAACTAAAAAGTTACAGAGCAACTGATAATCTGCATTGAAGAGGGTAATTTCTTTGATGAAACTACACGTTCGGGGGAAAAAAAAAAATTCTTCTGTACAATGTATGAAATACCAAATAATGGGTTATTTTATGTGTTGACAGGTTGAGTGGATTCTCTGTGGGAATAGTGGGACAACTTGGACAAGAACTGAACATGATGAAAAGACATAAATGGATGTGCTATTTATACTGATGAAAAGAATGTATCAAGATCCACTAAATTATATACCACATCATGGGTAACAAAATGATGATTAACAATTGAACCAATAATAAAATTTTTAACAAGTCATTTTTTCAATAACTGCTCTAATGTACCAGTATTCAAAGAGCTGTAAAAGCTAAATTTCAAGTCTATCAAATCCTTTATGAAAATTATCCCTTTTGATGCACTTATTCAACATAAATCTAAGGTATATTTTCACTCTAGAACATCTGGACCACTATTTATTCCTAAAAGAAGTTCCATGAAGAACGAGACTCCTTCCAGTTCTTCCTTTCAGAAAGTAACATTTAAGGGTTTAGAACAACGCAAAAATTCACAGCTGACCAAGGAAAAACATGTTTCAATATTATATTTAATTTTACTATATATTTACTAACATATTTATATTGTCCACTGAGCCTCTCATTTAGACTTTTTAAAGGGTAACTTAAGACCTAAGAATTTATTTTACATAACACCTGTCAAATCGCTAAACCTAACATGGGAAAAAAAAGAGTTGGCTCCTTTTTCTACTGTCAGGTACAAATTGTTCTCCAAAATAAGTATACAATCAATCAAAATTCCTGCTCAAGAAAGTAAATATAAGCGCTCTCAAACAAGTAGATAAGTTTTTTTAAAAGCGTCTGATTAGGATGTACTTTTTCATGTTTTTTTCTTTCCCTTTTCTTATAAATGTACAGCGAAGGCCATGTCCTGTATTCTTTAAGTTTCCTTAATTAAAAGGCCCACAAGCTACAATGAAGGCAATCTTGATATTTTCCCACACAGACATCCTCCCAATACACCGCCACAAGATGGCACATAAAAGACCCATTACCAAGAGCAAATGAGAGGATCTGAAAAAGAGACTTTACTGGAAGTTCTTTTTCTTTTTCTTTTGGCTAGGCAATGGGGTTAAGTGACTTGCCCAGGGTCACACAGCTAGTTGAGTGTTATGTGTCTGGGCTGGATTTGAACTCAGGTCCCCGTGAATCCAGGGCCGGTGCTCTATCCACTGTGCCACCTAGCTGCCCCTTTACCGGAAGTTCTTACTCAGCCTTTGCTGAAAGCATCTTAAAAATTCTTACAGAACAAAAGTTCTTTAAATACATAAATTTTAACCACACCTGATCATGGAATTATAGCTCTAATTTCAGAAGTCTAGATAACCCATATTTGGGAAGTTCTTTTGAACATAAATCTTCCAATGCATTACTCAAAGAGTGTTTCTCTCTTAAATCTACTTCATCTGAATTAGTAAACCATTTTTAAAATACTTCAAAAAATAACTGTAGATATGCCCTTCTCTGAAAATAGCAGACACATTTTCACATTTATTTTCTGGTTAAGCACTTCATTCATTTATGTTAGGTAAATGTATATAAGGGAGGAAGGCAGAAGAAAACAGATATCTTCGGAAATATCACTGATTTTAATAAGCCTTATCTTTAAGTTTACTCTTCATCAAAATCCTTTCCCAAAATTTACTTTCAAAATATTAGAAGTAAACAAACAGATATTCTACTCATAGTAGTCAACATAAAAAGTCCCCAAAAGGGCAAATAAGTTGGGATTGGGGTACTGGACAGGAGTTTAATTAGGAGCACTTTTTTCCTAGGTGATTTTTCTCTGAAAAGAAAAAGTTGAGAATATTATGCCTATGCCAATTATTTTAATTAAAATGCTCACAATCTGAATAAAGCCAGCATTTATATCTTCAATACAGTATAGTAATTAGAGTACATTTTAAGTCTGAAGCTCTGTTGCTGAACATTTTTCGCACCCAAAAAAAAGGTAAATAAATATTACAGGGGGAACTTCCAAGCGGTGTTAAAAAAGCACGGTTACCAATACGAATAGTAGCTTTTCCTTTTCGACCACTTCCCAGAATTATAGTTCTTTTTTTCTGTTTAGTTTTGAAAAGGTCCTTTAAAGTTGGAGAACTTAACCACTTGTACTAGAAAAGAGAAGTAAAATACTACATTTCAGTGATAGGCAACTTATGAGGTTTTAGCTTCAGCCAGCAATTATAATTTTAAATAAATAAAAAATGTGTTTTGTCCTTTTGGTGATATAATTAGCAATGTAATCTTTGGCAATAAGAATTAAAAGAAAAGTATAAGATTGCCTTTATGTTATTTAGAGAGAAAATGACTGAATTGTAACTGGAAAACGAATTTCATGTATGCCTTTGCTATTAAAGAATAAATACAACAAAAAATCCTTCTGGATGAAATAAAAAAATACACCATACCTCTGATTTAGCACTGTTTCCATTCTGGACAGCTCTGTCAATAACTGCTTTTATCAAAGAATGATCTAAAGTGAAAACAAAATTAAATTACAAATTTTCTAGTGATTTTGTACATGTTTTTGTTGAAAAACAGAAAAGTAGTCAAATACCACTGCTATCCCTTTCCCAGAAACATAGAAAATTCTCACAAATGTATAAACATGTGACCTCTTTGTGTGTATATCTCTTCCACTCAAACAATATATGTGGCTATTTCTCCACAAAAATTCCCTCCAAAAGGCTTCTTTGTCAACAACAAGTAATGTAGATGAAAGAACAGATTAAGAGGCCTGAAAAATATTCTTTGCTTGAAGTTTTTACTCAGTCATTGTTCAAACCACATGACACACTCTTACCAATTCTTCAATAGCATCTCTAGAGGATCTCAGACTCTAGGGATAGAGAAGGGCTTCCAATGGTAAATGTATTAAACAAGCCAAGACATATGAATTATATTCTAAATACTCTAAGCATAATCTCAAAGATCATATAAACATTATGAATTTATTGGCTAAAAAAAATGCGCCTTTGCAAGGGAATTTTTAACCTAAGACTCCCTGTGAGGAAAAAGGCTCTAGCAAGGGTCTAAAAGATAAAAATAAAGATTCTAGGGATATTTAGGTGTATGTAAGTATTGAAAGTCAGAACATTTAATATACAGTTCCCTGGCAAGGATGAACAGTTCAACTGGGTTGGAGCAAGGGTCACTGCCCCACCCTAGTGGGCCATACACCAAGTGCCAAACAAAGCTGTGGCAAAAAAATTATACAATGCCAAAATTATTCTGCACTGCCCAGCCTACAACTACAAGACCCCAAACCCACCCTGACTTTGGCACAGGAACAACCAGGAACCATTATAACCCATTTAATAACACAATCTCCACTTTAAAAATTGTAAAAGAAACTGAGATTATGAGAGTCAACTTGGTAATATTTATAATTTAAACACTTTTTCTTAAGCTCTGTCACTAGCAAGCTTAGTTAAACAAAACAAATTTATTAACATACCAACGAGTGGGTTTTTTCTTATATCCAGAACCACCATGGTTGTATTTCCTTCCAGGGCAGTTAGCAGAGTTTGAGCTCCCTCATCGCTAATCCCACAGTGCTGCAGATCAAGTGCTTGAAATAAGAAAAAAACACTTCCACTCACTAAATATATATGTTTAATGTGTAGTCATCACTATTCACACATGGAGTATCCTTTTTTACATTACTATACTGAAATGAATCTGTAATGTCATTGACATGGGTATTGCCTCTAACATTGCATATGACAATGCATCCATGTCTACTTATCCAGTGAGACTATTGTCAAAGACCACTTTTACATTTATCATCAGTAACCTAGCTAACATGTGACATGTCTTCTTTACTTTCTTTTTCTTATTATCAACACCACCACATGTATACAAGACTAAAAGGCTTATGAAGCAAAATATTAGACTATAAACTTTACTTATATTTAATATACAGTCACAACATATTCATCCATGAATTTGGAAATAAAATTAAACAATCAAAAAACACCTATTAAGTGTCTACTATGTGTCTGGTCCTGGATAGGCAGTGGGGATGAAAAGAGAAAAATGAAAAGTCCCTGCCAATGCATGTATAATTACCTCACAACTCTCCCCAAGGGGGAGGGTAGGTAATGCAAGTATTAGTATCACTACATTACAGATGAGGAAATTGAGGTCCACAGAGGTCAAGTGACTTGCCCAAGGTCACAAAGCAAGAGTCAGAGCAGAGCCTTTACCTTCCTTACTCCAAGATTAAATCATGCTTTTTGAAGATTATTCACATCAATATTTTAATTCTAGTTTGACCTCCCTGTTTGAGAACATTTCTGGGCTGCTATCATTGCATATATGCACAAAGGAATGTAAACTAATTTTAAAATAAACTAAATTAAAAATATCAATGAGTTCTAAAACCTGACTTTCATTTTTGGTGGGGTGGGGAGGAAAAACAGAAAGGATAATCTGTGCTATAGTTACTTTCTATTAGTGCACGGCACCAAAATTGTGTTGATAAATTTCACAGTTACAGCAAAAGAGCCATAACTACTCTGACTTCTTTGGCCTCCATTGGTTTGTTAGCAATAGTAAGTAGAAAAAATTTTGTACTACATCCCCTGGTCATCTACCTGGTCTTTAATAGTCAGCCAAACAAAACACTCAAGAGATTCAATAACAACAAGTATTTATTAAGCACCTACTATGAGCTAGCTGCTTGGGATACAAAAAATGATACAATCTCTACTTTCAAAGAGCTTACATTTTAATGGGAGAGACAACAAGCACATATATAAGTATATACAGAATAAATATAAATAGAGTAAGTACAAAATACAAGAGAGTTTGTGAGAAAAGGCACTAGTAGTCAAAAGGGGACCAGAAAAGTATTGACATAAGCTGAGTGTTTTGAGATACATCTTGAAGCAGGAGAGGGATTCTATGAGGCAGACATGAGGAAAAAAGACATACTAGAAATTGGGGATGGTCAGTATGAAGGCACAGAGATGGGAGCTGGAGTGTCACCCATGAAGAGCAGAAGGAAGATACGTTTGGCTGTATCACAGAGTGCAGAAGGTGGAGTAATGTACAATGGGGCAGGAAGGACAGTTTGGAGTCAGGTTGTTAAGGAGTTTTTTTTAAAGCTAAAGAGAAGAATTTATAGTGGATCTTAGATTGCAGTTTATGGAGTAGAGGAGTCATGTGGTTATTAAAGAAAATCACTAGCAGCTGTGCAAAGGATGAAGTGGATTGGAAAAAGACTTCATGCTAGGAGACCAAATAAAAGGTTGTTGCAATAAATCTAGGCAAGGGGTGATAAGGGCCTGAAATAAGGTGGTGGCTGTGTAACAAAAGGGGTTGGACAATAGGGTCAACACAGAGGCAGAAACAGCAAGATCTGACAACTGAGTATGAGACACTGAGGAGAAAGAAGGTGAGACAGGGAGGATAAGGTTACAAACCTGAGAGACTGGAAGAGTGATGATGCTTTGGACAGAAATAGTGAGACTGGGAAGAAGAGAGGGTTTGGAGAAAAAATATGAGAAGAGTCACCTAAAGAGAGACGAGAGAGAATGCAGAGGGAGAAGAGAAGAGGACCTACAACAGTAAAGATGGAGAGAAGAGTAAACAAAAGTAAAAAGGAAGAGGAAGAATGCTAAGAGGGAAAAACTATGACAAGCACAGAAAAAAAAAAACGAAGATGTACAGAGTGTCCCAAAAGTCTTAGTGCTGTTTTATGCCATTAAATCTTAAAACAGCACTAAGACTTCTGGGACATTAAAAAATATATTTTTTACATAATCTATTAAAAGCATAAAAATTATATTAAAATATTCAAAATACTGTATTTTTATATGTAAGATTTTTACGCACAAACATATTAAATAAAAGTAAAAAGAATAAAGAAAATAGCCACAAAGAATTTTCTAACCAGCCAATGTTTCCCAGGAGCAAGGAGCTAATAAAGGCACTTCTCTAAAGCATATAAGCTCTAACACAGAAAACACAAACTAAAGATCTCATATGTAATGTCCCTTGCTTCAAGATTGTTACTCAAATAATATTCTGAAAGCCAGGGTATGAATATCAAACTAAAGTGCCTTATTCTACAGAGCAAAGAATTTTGCAGTAAGTCATTTTTGTACTTGTCATGATGGACCAGATCAGAGACCACTTCTACTATCCCCCAGAAACAACTGTTTTTACCAACCTCTCAGCCACAAACTGTCATGAAGACATTCTGCAAAAGCACTGGCACCCTGATCGCCAATAAGGGTGTTGCAGTTGAGTGAAATGCGTTGCAAGCCCGCCATGCCATCCAGATCGGGGTTCCGATATCGAAGACTCTCAGCCCACACATCTTCATGCCTCCTTATCGCCTGGTACTTGAAAGATTTAGACAAATGAAGTAAGTGCTGGGAATAATCATTATTTATGTAAATATAAGTCTTTTATAAAATGATTTATTAAATTGTAAATTCACATATACTACCAATAGGCCATGAAGACAAACTTGAAAAATGTGGTTGAGTAAAAAGGGCCAGTAAATAATCAGGGGTCATCAGGTCTAGCCCCTGCACCCCCACTACTGAAATGTACAAACTGTGGCAAGTCATTCAACCCTTTTGGGTTTTGTTTTTTTGTCTATAAAATGAGGAGACTTAAAGAAATGACAGACAAGATCCTACAATTCCAGGATTCAACGTATTAAGAAGTGAACATGACATATGCCAAAGAAAATAAAGATTATTTATAAAATTCATACAGTGGTGCTATGGCAAGCTTCTTAACTCCATGCTTTAGAAATGAGGCAGAAGCAAATTAAAATGACTTGAACAAGGTTATGTAAGAGCTCACTAAGACAGAACCAGGACTAGGGTCCATGTCTCTAAATACTAGGTCCAATGAACTTTCCATCACACCATGCTGTCCTACAATTGATAAATCAGAAACATTCACCATCATACATTTAAAATAAAAAGAAAAATTAAAAACACCAAGCAAATTTCTCAAAAGAAGTTCTTTATATAAATGGAAAAGCTTGGGCAGTTATTTGTGGTTAGAACAATCAGAACTGTAGGTGCCCCCAAAGCATCAAAACCTAGTCACCTCTCTTTAGCAACTGCTAATTCACTTTCTGTTTGATCATCAAAGAAAGAAAATTTTTTAGGGGCAGCTAAGTGGTGCAATGGATAGAACACCAGCCCTGAAGTCAGGAGGACCTGAGTTCAAATCCGACCTCAGACACTTGACACTTACCAGCTTTGTGACCCTGGGAAAGTCACTTAACCCCACTGCCTAGCCAAAAAAATAAAACAGTAAATTTTCTGATCAATTCATGTTAATTTTTTTGTGCTAGATGCATTAAATTATTAAGATTAAATTTCAAATACTAATCACCTTTAAGATATTGGCCAGATGTTCTGCTCCACGCCAAGTCAGATTACACCCTGACAAGTTTATAGTCTTGAGGGTTACTGAGGTCTTAACACTTTGACAGATAGCTAAAAATAATAGAGAAACCAAAGACAAACAAGAGATCAAACACAAATATTCATTATTCACTTTTCTGAGTCTATTCCTGTTCAATAGTTGTTTTTCTAATTACTGTTGTTCTTTTTTTTTTCCTAATACCTGTATATAAACTAAGCCTGTTGAACAGAAAAAATATGACAACTATAAAGTCTATTACAATGGCAATGTTATTCCAATTTACAAAAATCACGAGCTAGCTAGCCAAAAAGCACACAGTCTGAGTGTATGGAATTTGCTTTTGATATACCAGGAATTTTCCTGTATTCTTAAAGCATAAATTATAAATGTTTTCTCCTGTCTATGCCTTAATTTCTATGCAATCACTTAAAAAAAAAACCTTCTGCAAAATTACAAGCTCTACAATCTATTTTCGTTGGTTTTTATAACAACTACATGTCTATCACTACACTGCATCCCAAGGAGGATTACAAGGAAAACACAGACAGTCCTTAAACTCAACAACTATTTGAGAAGACATTGTAACGCTCATTTTTTTAAAATGAGAGAATACAAAACAAGATATAATCAAGTGCTAATTAGTATAGTGCAAAATAAATAAAACAGGATAAGAGATTGGGGAGGTCAGGTTAGTGGTTAGTAGTAGTAGGAATAGTTAGTAGTAGTTAGTTTCATGTTAGAAAACTTGGTCTGGCCTCTGAAAAATAAGATTAGGATAGATGGAAAGAAAAATAAATTAATTTAAAAACTCACTTTCCAAACCTCCATCTCCAATTGGACAATAGGCTAAAGACAGATGTACCAAAGATGCTGATTTATTCAACCCCTTCAATGAAAAAAAAATCATGTTGTTAAAAACACATGAGGAAAGTTTAAAAACCAGAATTACCACCAAATGTTGGCAGGATGAATTTTAGAAACCTTACCCTTGTTAACAATATTAAATCTCGTTCTCTTAAATATATTCCCTGAAGCTCTAGGTTCTTCAGAGCAGTAGATATACTTAAACAGCCTTTAATAGCTTTACATAATTGGATGGTCACTTCTTTGGATCTAATCGTAGGAATTCGCCTTTTAGAATAGGCTTTATATCTATCAGAAGCTAGAAAAAAAATGTTTTCCAAAATTATTATCCAAAGAAAACTTGCACCAATGACAACAAAAAAGTGCTTATGTAGAGCATTCTTTTTCCTATATTAAAAACTAGATTCTGTGTGAATAAGCAATATCCCCTCTTCCAACTTTTCACATAAATACAAACATTAAGCAACTGCATGAGGAAAGATACAAAGTCTAGGTAACTATCTCTAGGAGCTGAAAGTTTTAGTAAGGGGTCAAGATCTATAACATACATGATTAACTACATTAATCATTTTACAAATAAAAAGTTATAAAACAAAGCATGAGATCTGAGGGGAAAATTCATTGTCATCTAGGGAGATCAGAGAAGGTTTTCTTAGAATAAGTAATATATGACTTAGACATTAAAGGATGGGTTTGACAGGTAAAGAGGGATAATAAAAGTGTCAGAAAAAAAGAATGGAATTCTAAGGGCATACTGAGAGTGCAGGAAAGCAGAGAGTAGTCCAGTTTGGCTGGAATGTAGACTAATAAGAGAAAAATGTTTCAGGTGACATACTGTAGACTATTTGTTTGATAAGGCTTCCTTACACCATGTACCACAACAAGCACAAATGAATGTGAATATAAAAAGGCCACACGATGAAAATTCTGAGAAGAAAATGGGATGAAATACCTTTCACAACTATGCCTACAGGTGCTTTAAAAAAAAAAAGAAAATGATAGGGTCTCCCCTATCTTGCCCAGACTAGAAAAAATCAGGGACAACTCAAGGGCTCAATCTCACTGACCCCAGAACTTTACCCTGCTCCATTTCTGTCCTGCTCTGGCTGGCACTCCTTAGGCAACCTTGTAGCTCCCCCACTCCTGGGGCACACCATATTCATACCAAACATAGTGGGGACACCTGATTGGCACAGTCCACTGCAGCTCAGAACTCTGAATCTCAAGATATCAGCCAGTCTCAGATCCCCCAGTAGCTGGGATTACAACTGTGTGCTATATCATCCAGCTGTGAGGTAAATTTTTAGAAGATAAAATAGACAATTTTGACCTCACAAAATTAAAAAGCTTCATTCACTAATGAAAACAGAATTAAGAGAAACTGCACACTGTGAAAAATGTTTGCATAAATATCATTAATAAAATGATATCCAAAATATATATAGAATTGACAAGAATATAACACCAATAGTCATTATAGTTTCCAAATTGCAAACTATAAATGGTTTCTAAACACATTCCAAATTATTTATAAAACTAAAACAATTCTAAGGTTTCACCTCACATAAGACAAATGAGCAGAAATGACAAAAAAGAACATCTGAAGCCTACAGGAAGGCACACAGTAATAAATACAGTGTTGGTAGACCTGTGAATGCTTCAAACATTCTAGATTTCAATTGGAGACTATTTAAAACAAGTGATTAAACTGTCCATATCTGCCATTCTAGCCATCACACTACTGGGTATATAATCCAAAGACAAAGACAAAAACAAAAAAAATTAATGACCAAAACCCAAAATATTAATGACAGCGCTCTTTGTGGTAGAAGAGTTAGAAACAAAGTGGGTGTTCATGATTGGAGAATGACCAAAAAACAGGGCATATAAATTTTGTGGAGTATTACTGGACAGTAAGAAATGATGAATATCAAGAATTCTCAAAGCAATAGGGGAAAATTTGTATGAAACGGAGCAAAGGGAAACAAAGTAGAACCAAAGAACAATACACACAAGGAATACAACAATATGAACGAAAAGCAGACGACAAAGTTGCCTGGCTCTGATTACATCCTTAGTCTTTACTGGGAGAAGAGGAGAGCTAACAGGACAGAATACTGTCTACACTGTCATACTGGAAACCTCAACTTTGTGGTTTTTCTTTGTCCCCAGGAAGAGCTCAATCTGGAGAACTGGGCTGAAATCACAAGGGCAAAATGCATCAATTAAAGTGATTTTTCAAAAATAAAAATAAAACGAAGGGGCTGGACTAGAAAACCACTCCATTCTAGCACGGTATCCATGAGCCTATGAACTTCCTCCTCAGTAACAGTAATTATAATAGGAAACATTTATTGTCTACTACACGTCAAGCACCGTGTTAAGCACTTTACAATTATCTCATTTAACCCTCACAACCTTGTGAAGTAGGTACTATTATTATCCTCAATTTAAAGATGAGGAAACTGAGGCATAGAGAGGTTAAGTGACTTGCCCAGGGTCACACAGCTGGATCTGAACTCAAACTCAAATCTTCCTGATTCCAGGCAAGGAACTCTATCCACTGTACCACCTAACCCCCTTTGACACCTTAGTAACTAAGTACTTGGTACCAGGTTATATCCAAATAAATTACCAAGGAACATTATAGATTACTACTATTCCATTTACTAAATTATTGTTTTGGATTCCTAAGTAGCAAGCAAGAGGGGTTGGAAAGTTAGAAAATAGTTTTGTGGAGAGCTATTTTATGGTACCATGCAGCAAAATAAGCACACAATAAATGTCACATAAAAAATGATGAAATTAGAGGCTAAAGTAGAAAATCATACATGCTATGCAGTTCATATAATGAAAAGAACACCAGACTTGGAGCACCTAGCACAGTGCCTGGCACATGTACATGCTTAATAAATGGCGACTGAATGCCAACTTTGCTGCTACAATTATTTTCTTAGTAAGCTCTTGCCACGACAAATAAATGCTACTTGAAATCTGTTTCGAGAAAACCAGGCTAATATATAGTATTCTACTTTCCCCATCTCTTAAATCTACCCTATGGGATGCTGTTATTACAGATAAAAAACCTGGGGGTACCCACCTACCTTCCAGTGAAAGTGTAAATTACCAATTGTTTAAAATTTCACACATTCTCTCCCTTGGAACCCAAAAACAGCTTAAAGGCTTAAGCAGCATTTCAGATCTGAACCACAAACCTGAATCTCCAAAACCTGGTTGATATGAGCTCCTGATGGCAACAGAGGGCAAATTTTTATTTATCCTAAGGGCGCTTAGCAAAGGGGCCCAGTCCAGGAGCTTGAGGCGGTCTGCATTGAAATCGAGCACCCCCAGCCTCAGGGTGGCTCTCACAACAGGCAAAGGTACAGAGTCTTGAAGTGCACAAAGATATTCGTAATGAGAAAAGAAATCTGCAGCACTCTCTCTCCGGAGCTTCACTGAGTCAATCATTTTCCGGCCACCAGTTGAAACCCACCCTGAATCCTGGGAAGGGAAAAGAAAGGCAGAGATTTACTCCCAGCAGGAACTGGAATTGGAGTAATCACCACTCATTTTGGCAGGGCATTTGGGTTTTGGGGTGGGGTTTTTTTTTTCCTTTCTTTCTTTCTTTTTTTTTATGGTAAGGGGAAGAGTGGGAAGAATGGCTTTATTAAACTTCTCCTGGAGACTACTGTACCCCACCTTTCATATCTCCTAAGAATAAAGAAACACTGAAAAGGGGTGAGATGTCAGAACGGGCTGCTTGCAGGATGCTAGGGGAGCAGCTGAAATCAACCTCCACATCTCTGGCCTGTGTGCTGCTTGTAACAAACTCCCCTTACATTGAAATTCTCATTCAGTCTTTTCCAGTCGTGTCTGACTTCACGACTATTTGGGGTTTTCCTGGCAAAGATACCAAAGTGGTTTGCCAATTCCTTCTCCAGCTCATTTTACAGATGAGGAAATTGAGGCAAACAGGGTTAAGTGCCTTAAGTCACAGAGATAATAAATGTCTCTACTCTAGAACTGGCACTCTATTCACTGGGCCAGCTAGCTGCCCTTTTACACTGAAGAGCAGATTAAAAAAAAATGTATGGAAAGGACTGTTTGCAGGGGCAGGGACAAGAGAGCTGAGGGAAAGCAGTGACTTGTTTGAGCTCTCCCCCCAAACCCTTCCAAATACCTATAAAAAATGGCTCTAAACAAATTCTAAAGCAGCAGAACCCACAAAAAGACAGAGTGAAACAAATTTTCAGCCAAAGACAGCCTGGATGGTTGATTGGAATGGTATATCGCACTAGGCGGGGAGAGGAGCACTGTTCGGCATGTGCACACAGGCCGCAGTGACCCTGGAGCAAGCCTCAGAGGACTGAAGCGCAGGAAGCTATGGTGGTTTCTAGACTTCTGAACCCAGGAACGCCAAAGACAACTCAGAAGGTCAGTGGGAAAAGTCTGAGACTGTGGTGAGAGAAGGAGCTAGGTCTCAGCTGCCCCCAGCGCCAAGGCTGTTTCCTGAGCTTCTGGCCCACAGACTGAGAGGGAATCCAGTGGTTGATCAGAGGGGGATTGCAGGGATCTCTTTGCCAGTGCTGAGGCAGGAATCTCTTGCTTTGCCCGTGCCTGGATCTGGGTCACAGTTCTGAGGGGCGGTCCTGGGGCAAGGAGGAGTGCTGACGTGGTAGAGCTTGTTGTGATGGTGGAGAGGAAATACCTCGCCCCTTATCATAGCACCTTGGAAGAACTGAAAATTTTCAGGTCCCCAGAAGTATCTCTGAAAACAGCTGTACAAACCCCCAAAGCCTAGGACAGTACATTCTCCACATTGGAAACAGACTCTTACCTTAACAAAGAGTTTAAAACTCAAGTAATTGGGCAGGATCATGAGTAAGCAGCGCAAAAAGAATCAGCCTATATTATCTTACTTTGGTGACAAAGAAGATCAAAACATACAACCAGAAGAAGACAACAAAGAAAAAGCTCCTAAATCCAAAGCCTCCAAGAAGAATATGAATCAGTCCCAGGCCTTGGAAGAGCTCAAAAGGGATTTTGAGAAGCAAGTAAGAGAAGGAGAGGAAAAACTGAGAGTTTTGCAAGAAATTCATGAAAAACAAGTCAACAGCTTGCTAAAGGAGACCCAAAAAAATACTGAAGAAAATAACACCTTAAAAAATAGCCTAACCCAAATGGCAAAAGAGGTCCAAAAAGCCAATGAGGAGAAGAATGCCCTAAAAAGCAAAATTGGATAAATAAAAAAGGAAGTCCAAAAGATTACAGAAGAAAATACTTCCTTAAAAATTAGGATAGAGCAATTGGAAGCTAGTGACTTTATGAGAAATCAAGATACTGTAAAACAAATCCAAAAGAATGAAAAATTAGAAAGCAATGTGAAATATCTCACTGGAAAAACAACAGACCTGGAAAATAGATCCAGGAGAGAAAATTTAAAAATTACTGGACTATCTGAAAGCCATGATCAAAAAAAGAGCCTAGACATCATCTTTCAAGAAATTATCAAGGAAAACTGCCCTGATATTTTAAAACCAGAGAGCAAAATAGAAATTGAAAGAATCCACCGCTCACCGCCTGAAAGATATCCCCAAAGGAAAACTCCGAGGAATATTGTAGCCAAATTCCAGAGTTCCCAGATCAAGAAGAAAATATTGCAAGCAGCCAGAAAGAAACAATTCAAGTACTGTGGAAACACAATCAGGATAACACAAGATTTAGCTGCTTCTACATTAAGGGACCGCAGGGCATGGAATATAATATTCCGGAGGGCAAAGGAGATAGGATTACAACCAAGAATTACCTACCCAGCAAAACTGAGTATAATCCTGCAGGGGAAAAAATGGTCATTTGGTGAAATAGAGGACTTTCAAGCATTCTTGATGAAAAGACCAGAGCTGAATAGAAAATTTGACTCTCAAATAACAAGACTCAAGTGGAACATGAAGAGGTAAACAGGAAAGAGAAATCATAAGAGACTTATTATGGTTGAACTGTTTACATTCCTGCATGGAAAGATGATATTTGTAACTCATGAGACCTTTGTCAGTATTAGGGGAGTTGCAGGGGAAAAAATGATATGCACATATATATGGATATAGATAGATAGATAGATCACACAGGGTGAGTTGAAAATGAAGGGGTCATATCTGGAGAATAAAATTAAGCGGTGAGAGAGGATTATACTAGGAGAAGGAGAAAGGGTGAGGTAGAACGGGGTAAATTATCTCACAAAAAAAAACAGAAAAGAAAAGGCTCTTACAGTGGAGGGGAAACCGGGGAAGGTGAGAGGGAATGAGTGAATCTTATTCTCATAGAATCTGACTTAAGGAGGGAATAACATACACACTCAATTGGGTATGGAAATCTATCTTACCCTACAAGAAAATGGGGAGGGGGGAAGGGGACAAGGGAGTAGGGGGATGATAGAGAGGAGTACAGATTGGGAAAGGGGGTAATCTGAAGCAAGTACTTCCGAGGAGGATCAGGGTCAAAAGAAAGAATAGAATAAATGGTGGGGTGGGATAGGATTAAGGGAAATAGAGTTAGTTTTTCACAGCATGTCTACTATGCAAGTGTTTTGCATAACTGTACATACATAACCTACATTTAGTTGCTTGCCTTATCAATGAGGATGGGTGGGGAGGGAGGAAGGGAGAAAATTTGGAACCCAAAGTTTTAAAAACACATGTTTAAAAAAAAATGTTTTCAAATGCAGCTGGGAAATAAATACAGGAAATGGGGTACAGAAAGCCATCCTGCCCTACAGGAAAACTGAAGGGGAAGGGGATAAGAGAAGGGGGGGGAACAGAAGGGAAGGCAGACTAGGGGAAGGGGTATTTAGAATGCATGCCATCTTGGGGTGGGGGGAAGGGCGAGAAAGGGTGAAAATTTGGAACTCAAAATCTTGTGGAAGTAAATGCTGAAAACAAAAAAAATAAATAAAAATTACCATAATATAAAAAAAAACTAAAAAAAAAGAAAGGACTGTTTGCAGGTTGTTAGGATAGCAGTTGGAATCAGGCCCCTCCTCCACACCTCTGGCTGATGCACTATGTATAATGAACCCCTTGACAAAGAAAAGCAGATTTTTAAAAAAGATGTTTTTGGCGGGGTTTGCAGGATGTTAGGGCAGTAGTTGGAATCAGTTATCTCCCCCACATCTCTGGCTGGTGCTTTATAAAGAACTCTCTTTACAACGAAAAGTAGTTTTTTTTTTTAAAGGGATGTGGGAGGTGGGGTTGCTTGCAAGACGCTAGGACTGCAACTGGAATTTGCTCTTCTCCCAGGCCTCTGGCTGGTATGCTATTTATGAACTTCCTTTACACTGAAAAACAGATATGCACACATATATGAATAATTCGATGTGTGCATGTGTATGCAGAGGCAGGGGGCGGGGAAGTTGTTCCCAGAACGCTTAGGGTAGCAGTTGGAATCAAGTTCCCCCCTAGTCTCTGGGTGGAGTACTGTTTATCACGAACCCCCTTTACACCGAAAAGCAGATCAAATCTACACACACACACACACTAAGGCAAGCAGCGCAGGAGGAAGCGCAGGAGGAGCGGGAGCCGCCGCCACGGGGGAGGCGAGGCGCAGGCGGCCCAGGGCGGGGAGGCGCCACGGTCCCGCGGCTGCTGCCGCCGCCGTTTAGCTCCTCAGACTCGATCTATTCCCTCACCCATCCCCCGTGCTCCGCGCCGTTCACCTCTTCGGTTGAAGAACGTTGACCCCCAGCTACATGTCTTTCAATCCGGCGCTCCGCCGAGGTCCCGCCGTTAGCTGCCGCCGCATTGTCCTCCACAGGTCGGCGCCGCCCAGCGCACCGCTTCTGTTTGGTGTAACCCGGAAAGGTAGCACCGACGCCGACAGCGAGCGAGCGTCCCCACGCAGGCCGTTACGCCAGCGCGTCGCCACCGCCCGCGGGGCGCCGGGAGGGGGCGGGGCCAGGCCGTTCGCCTTCACAGGATTGGCTGCTGGACCTCGGCGGGTTTTCAGGATTTCTCCGCGCTCCTCACTGCCTCAGTCACGGAACGTGAGCTCTGGAAATCGGCTCGGGGAATCCAAGACTTGGGCTTCTGAGGGCCCTTAAAGGTGATCTAGTCCACACTCTTCCCTTCTGCACTTGAGGAAACTGAGGGCCAGAGGGCTTAAGTGACGTAAGGCACGCAGGGAGAAAAGAGTCCTTCATTCAGCAGTTGCAAGGAAGAATGTATGAAACCAGCTCCCTTTTCCAGCGGACCGCACCCCTTCTCTAGTCACCTAGGGTAGACTCCTGAGCTGTCAAAGAGATTTTCCTAAAGCTCGAGGGCGGGGCTGACCATGCCACGCACGCTCACCCCGAGCTTCAGTGACCCCTGACTTCCTGGATCAAATATAAAATTCTCTAGCGTTTGAAGCCCTTCACCATCTGGCCCCTTCCAACTCCTCCGGTTTTCTTGCACTTGACTCCTATCCACTCGCTGTATGGTCCAGAGACACTGGCCTTGCAGTTTCTCGTACAGGACGATTCATCTCCTGACTGTGCCTTTTCATTGTCTGTTCCTCACACCTGGAATGCTCACACCCCCCTCCCCTCCCCCTCCTGGTTTTCCTGATTTCCTTCAGGATTCAGTCTACATCCCACCTTCTGCAGGAGGCCTTTTCTGGTCTTCTCTTTGCCTTTCTTCTCCAAGATTACCTTCCACTTACATCATATAGTGACCCCAAAGCTAACTGGTATGGGACTCTCTCTTCATTGGTGGAGTTCAATGGCCAAGCCCTGCATGAGGGGCTGAATGAAATCAGTGAACTTGGGAGAGAAGACATGCCGTCTCATCAGCATCTTCAGTATTTCTGGCTTCCCTGCTTTAAGAGAGATGATGGCCATACCAACAACTCTTCAGGTTGCTGAAGAAAAAAAAACAAGTAGAAGTCAATCCTGTCCTTATTCTCAGCTTGCTATGCTAGAGATTTTGGAGAATTTCCCCTTGGATGAGATCAGGGACTCTCTTGGTTGAGTGAATTATCTTGCTCCCAATGGGAGAACTCCTTCAATTTGTATTGTCTGGGAGATATATAGACACAAATTAGATATAGATATATATTCTCATACATATACTTTCTCTGATCTCTATTTTTCTATCAATTTAGATAAATTAGTTTCTTTGCTATTTACTATGTATGCCCATTGTGAACTGGTATTTGATGGGAAAGAAGTCGATTTGGATATTTTGCTTGGGGGCCTCCCTTCTCCAATAAGAAATAGTGATCAGGAATTTAGCTTGAATCTTAATATTACGTCATCCTTTAGACTAATAATATTTAAGGAAGCAGATAGGGCAACAGAGCTAAGCTACAATCAATCACCTACCCACCAAAAATAATACTTCAGGGGAAAAAAATTGACATTCAGTGAAATAGAGAACTTTTGAAGTATTCCTGATGAAAAAACCAGACCTGAAAATTTGACTTTCATATACAAGATGCAAAAGAAGCATAAAAAGGTAAAGAGGAAAGAGAAATCATAATGGATTGATAAGGTTAAACTGTTTATATTCCTACATGGTAAAATGATATTTACAACCCCTAAAAATTTTCTCATTATTAGAGCAGTTAGAAGGAGTAAACGTAGATAGAAAGCAGAAGCGTGAGTTGAATATGATGGTATGATTATCTAAAAAAATAAAATTAAGGGATAAGAAAGAAGAATGCACTGGGAGAAGGAGAAAGGGAGAGATAGAATGGGATAAATTATCTGACATAAAAGAGTCCTGAAAGAGATTTTATAATGGAAGGGAAAATGGGGAAGGTAGGGAGGGGAACACATGAACCTTACTCTCATCAGAATTGGCTCAAAGAGGGAATAATATACAAACTCAGTTGGGTGATCTTACCACACAGGAAAGTAGGAAGGGAAGAGGATAGGAGAAGAGAGGGGAGCTGATAGAAAGGAGGGCAGTTTGGGGGAGGTAAAAGTCAGAAGCAAAACACTTTTGAGGATAAAAGGAAAGAGTAGGATAAACAGGGGGAAATAGGATGGAGAGAAATAACATATTTGGTAATCATTACTGCGAAAAAAATTTACAGAGTTTCTCAAACATAGAAAACTGAATCAAGTTTATAGAAATCAGAGCCATTCCTCAATTGATAAGTGGTCAAAGGATAGCAGTTTTCAGACAAAGTAATCACAGCTATTCACATTTTAAAAATAGTCTAACTCACTATTGATTGGAGAAATGCGAATTACAATAGCTACTACCTCACACCTGTCAGACTGGCTAATATGACAGAAAAGGAAAATGACAAATGTTGGAGAGGATGTGGAAAAAATTAAAATACTAATGTACTGTTGGTGAAGTTATATGCTGATTCAACCATTCTGGAGAGAAACTACCCAAAGCACTATAAAATCATGCGTACTCTTTGACCACGCAATACCATTACTAGGTCTGTATCCCAAAGAGATAAAAAACGAAAAAGAGAAGGACCTATGTGTACAAAAATATTTATAGCAACTCTTTTAGTTGTGGCAAAGAATTGGAAATTGAGGGGATGTCCATCAGTTGGGGAATAGCCAAACAAGTTTTTGTATATGATTGTGATGGAATATCATTGTGCTTTAAGAAATGATGAGCAGGATGCTCCCAGAAAGACATGGAAAGACTTACATGAACTGATGCAAAGTGAAATGAGCAGAACCAGAAGAACATTGTATATAGTAACAGCAATATTGTATGATGATATACTATGAATAACTTAGCTATTATCAGCAATGCGATGATCTAAGACAATTCTGTAGGACTTATGATGAAAGGTGCTGTCCATCTCCAGAGAAAGAGCTGGTGCAACCTGAATGCAGATCAATGATACTCTTTCTTTATGTTTTTTATTTTTCTTTATTTTTCTAATTTTTTTATTAATTTATTTTTAGTTTTCAACATTCACTTCTGTAGGCTTTTGAGTTTTAAATTTTCTCCCCCTCCTTTTCTACTTCTCTCCCCACCTCCTTCCCCAAGACTGCATGCAATCTGATATAGGCTCTACATATACATTTCTATTAAATATATTTTCACGCTAGTCATGTTATAAAGAAAAATTAGAACCAATAGGAGGAACCACATACTTTCTTTATTTTTCTTGGAGTTTTTGTTTGTTTGTTTGTTTTGGCATGAGGCAATCAGGGTTAAGTGACTTGTCCAGAGTCACACAGCTAGTAAGTGTCAAAACGTGTTTTGCATGACTGCAGATGTGTAACCTATGTCAAATTGCTTGCTTTCTCAATGGAGGGGGAAAGAAAGGGAGAGAATTTGAAACTCAAAAATTTAAAAAAAAGAATGTTAAAATTGTTTTTACATGTAATTTGGATAAAAAATAAAATATTAAATAAGAATTATATAATTCTATTTAGTTTATACCTACTTATCATGATTATTATCATGTTTGAATAATAATCATAATCACATACTTCTTTATAATTTATATAACTTTTTGATAGTAATTAGTTCTCAGCTGATTCTTACAACAAACAGCATGGTGAAATAGAAAGGAAAGGGGTTGTTATCCTTATTTTGCAAATGAAGAAACTGAAGCTCAGAGCAGATAAATGACTTTGCCTAAGACCTTATAGCTAGTTTGTTATAGAACCAGAGCTTGAACTTAGGTTTCCTTGTGCATAGACCACTTCTTCAATACTCTTTTGATGGCATCTCACTTATTAGAAGACAAAATGATTATAAAAGATGCCTGGAAATCTACAAAGTGGGATCCAAATGCAGATTGTTATTGTTGTTTAATGACTGCTTCAGTTTGTGGACTGGGGTTTTCCAGGGGCCACATCTTGAATACTACACAGTCATGCAATCATTTCTTCATTTTGCATTAGTTCCACAACTCTTATCATAAATTTCCTGCAATTTCACATTAAATGAATAAAAGTGTCACCATTTAAACTCTCACATTTTGTCTAAATGATGAAAAAATAATTCAGCAAGCATTTAGTAAGCATCGAGTATATGCTAGGCATAGTTTTGGGATTTCAGATAAATAGACAAAAAGGAATCAATACCTACTCTCAAAGAACTTACAGTCTAGAGGGAGAGGGAGAGCAGACATGACAGTATGGATATAGACACATAAAATCATACAGATACATAAATAAAAACACATGCAACGCAAATTCAGAGCAGGGGAAGAACATTAACTACGGGGGTAGGGAGTGGCTCAGGAAATGCTTCAGGTATGATGTGGCTTTTGAGTTAAGTTTTGAAGGGAAGGAAGTAAGGCTTCCAAGATAAAAGATGCAGAACATTCCAGGCATAGGAAACAGCGTGTGCAAAAGAAGTAGGAGATAGAATATTGTCTGCAGAGAATGGCACGCAAGCCAGGTTGTCTGGTACGTAAAATACATAAAAGGAACATTAAATATGTGATTTGAAATCAGTCTAATAAAGACTTGTTGGAGCCAGTTTGTGAAGGGCTCTAAATGCTAAACAGAAAATTATGTGTTTTCCCCTAGAGCATGGGTACTCAACCTGGGGCCTGTGAACTGGGATGGTAAGTTATTATTATAATTAATTTTTCTACCACACATTTCTTTGGTATTTCAATAGATCTGTTATCTCATTTCTGTGGCTACTCCTTCCAACAATGACAATCAGGGTCAGTCTTATCTTTTAATCACATAGGATAAGAAGGGAACAGATACAAAGAATATGCCATCACCACATTGCAGTATAGATGTACATATCCTCCAATAAACTCCCCATAGAGAATCCATAAGGAGAAAAATATAGCTTTGAAGTTTCTACCCCAGCATACATTTGTGAAGAACATATAGGTTTCTTTATAAATGCAGATGTAGCTTT